TTATACATTTACAAATCTACCATTCGCCCGTGTATTGAACACTGCTGCCATATCTGCTCTGGTGCTTCTGCTATCCATCACGAGGTTCTTGACAAAATCCAAAGGATAATCTGTAATGTAATCAATCCTGACTTCTAGATTTCAGTCACTTTCTCACCGACGTGACGTGGCTTCCCTCAGTCTTTTCTACAAATGCTTTCATGGTAGCTACTTTGACAAACTTTTTTCCTTGGTGCCCCGACTGCATGAATTTAAGCGTACCACTAGAATGGCATCTAGGTCTCACACTTTTACTGTTGAAATAGCTAAATGCAACCGCTACTTCTACTCCAACAGTTTCTTTTCTAGCACTTCCCACCTGTGGAACTCCTGTTTACTTGCTTCCTTGAAAAATACAATCTCCCAAAATTTAAATGCAACGTCGATCGCCATCTTCATCTTCTTGAATCCCGTTCATATTTTGTCCTTTTCTCAATCCTCCCTCTACTCAGTCTTTTCTCACACTTTCACTCCCTGTAGCCCATACGTAGTAGTGGCATTCCCGTCTTGCTTGGGGTGAAATGATTAAAAAAAAAGGAAATCCTAATATGGCAGCTATCTTGTAGGCAGTCACGTTCAAATAAAAATATATAATACATTCAAACAATCAAATCATAAAACGAAAGTACATGTACACATAAATTTGCATATTTGAAAGTCAACAAAAGAACCCCCGAAGACGATTGCGTGCGCGTTCTTTGAGTGGGCACTTAGTTTGCACTTGCCTGTCTAAATAAATATACATTTAACTATCGTTCATTCAGGTTCACTCAGTCAGAGACAGTCAGCTGCCCTGGCAATTTCTTCCATCTCGTGATCACCAGAAAGATGGCCAAGGAAAATAACCCGATAATTATAATTGGCTCCATTAGTGCTAAGTAAATAAATGTATAGGTTATATTTTCATCATTCTATCTATGCTAGAATGTACGTACGAACAATCTGTAAAGAATCGAGTGCGCACTTTCAAAACGCTCAACCTACTTCCAGATGAAAAGAAACAAGTTTATGAAAAATCAAGCAAATGTCTGATTTTAATGTAATTTTCAATAATTATTCAATAATGAATGAATATTATTTGGTAAAAGTTATTTTATAAAAATACTTAGCAGATTTAAAAAAAAAAATCATTTACCATACCCCCATTAATTAAAACTGAAATTGGACCACGCCAATAAAACAGAAAGAGCTTTGATTATAATGAAATATAGCTATGGCATGATCGATCGATCTATCTATCTATCTATCTATCTATCTATCTATCTATCTCTGTTCATTATTTATCTTTGTTCAATATTTATCTATCAGTCTCAGTTTGCTCATTATCTATCTATCTATCTATTTTTGTTTATTATCTATCTATCTATCTATCTATCTATCTATCTATCTATCTCAGTTTGTTCATTATTTTTCTATTAATCTCAGTTTGTTGATTATCTATCTATCTACTTATGGCCATATCACATTGAAATAACAGTTTAAAGACGATCATCGAAGTTAAACAACGTCAAGCCTGGTCAGTACTAAGATGGGTAACCGCTTAGGAATACCAGTTACTGTAAGCTTGGATGTCCGTGTAATGGACAATGACTCGGAATTAAAAATCGAAGAACCTAGTTCCAATTCCAATTGGGTTCGTTATATTCACTAACGCAAAATACCCTTAGGAGAGGTATGAATCCATCTCTTCTCCTCCAGTTATAGGTTAAATAGTAGGACCTGTATCAGTAAATCATTATTATATTAAAAAAATCTAAAAATATGGTTGATAAGCCTTTAAAAACCAACCGAGAAATCAATCGATAAATATCTATCTATCTATCTATCTATCTATCTATCTATCTATCTATCTATCTATCATCCCATTTTCATATGACGCCATGAAACGAAGACTTCTTCCTCTCAATTAGAGATAGTTTTCTATTGACTGTATAGATTTGATAGAGGAAATATATCGGTCCATAAAATCTTATTTGTCTGGTGAAAACGCCAATATCAAAACGATTCAAACTTCAAAAAGATAACGACAAGGATGTAAAGATACTCGCAGTCCATTTAACCTCTTTCTAGACTATATACTCTGCTCATATACAAGCACAGATTTGAAGAGATGGCCACTGATCATTTAAGCATTCTATGCCACATCTCAAACGAATCCACGAATAGGAAACAGCGCTCCTGCTTCCCAATCCGAGGTCATTGTACTGATGACGAGGGCTATGCCAATGACATAGGTATTCATAGTTGGGGTAAGAATTATCTTAGACAATAAAAAAATCAACATCATCTAACAAGAGTTCCATGGCCCAGTGAATAAAAGACGTTGGTTAGATCCAGTGACTAGACCCAAAGAGTTGTGAGTTCAATACCAGGCAAAAGCAGCGGTGAACCAAAACTTGGAGATTTGGGTTAAAGGGGAATAACTGATACATCCGGAAGACGCATGGCATGTGGAACTAGAACAATCTACCCGTTGGGAAAAATTCGGTTCGAAATTCCAATCACTTGGAAGCTTTGTGAATATGGTAATGAAGATGAGGATAACGGCTCGACTAATGTAAATAATGTAAGTAAACACTGCATATATCGCACTGTATATATCAGTTACAAGAAACTTAGGATAGGAGATAAGGAAATTGAACATAGGCGTAGTTTCATCCAAAATAGAAAGATACTAAAGCCAAAACAATTCCCTAAAAACACGTCATATACTTAAAGAACCTCGTCAGATCAAAACTTTCATAGGCATATTAACTGGGACAAAAGATGGCGTCTTAATTTTAATGCCATCAAAACTAAACTTCTCTCCATTAATCATCTGAGAGACTCGTCTTTGCCTTCCATCAGTATGGCTGATGCTACCCTCCAAGAAATTAACTTATTACGCCTTGGTCGGGCTAACGTTCTCAGCTGACATGAAGTAGAAAGACTATACTGAATCCATTTCTAGATCGTCTGCTAAGAAAATTGGTTCACTGTGTTGTGTGAGACGCATTTTCTCTTTCACAATCTATCATATATATATATATATATATATATATATATATATATATATATATATATCTACCATTCATCTATGATTAGAATATTGCTGTCGCATATGGCATTACCCCTACTATTTACTTTGAGCTCCTTGATAAGATCCAAAGAAGAATCAGCAATATTATTGGCCCTGATCCGGCTGTTCGGTTCCAGTCACTTTCCCATCGCCCTAAGGCTGCCTTCCTGCGTAGCTTCTATAATTACTTTCATGGCAATTGTTCAGATGAGATCTTCACTATGGCACCTGGATTTTTAAAAATTTAAGCGCAGTACTAGACTGGCGCCTAGGTATCATCATTTTACAGTTGAGCTGGCTAGATGTAGCCGTAAATTCTATGCTAACAATTTCTTTTCTTGTGCTTATCGCTTGTTGAACTCTCTTCTGGCTCGATGCTTTTCATCCAACTTTAATCTGCAAAAATTTAAATGCAATGTCAATTGCTATCTACTGTTCTCCTGATTACTCTTTTCTCTTCCCGATCATTAGTAATGTTTCTGTTCCTAATTCTTCCATATCCAGTTACTCCCTTATGTCTTAGTGGCTTTGCTGCCTTGCTTCGGGTGAAATCGATTAAAAAATGTCATTTGACGGTGCCAAACTCGTCAGAAATATCTAAAATGTCAGCTGTATACAACCGCTTTCTCGGATTGATGGTTAAAAATAGTTTTGAGCAAAGGAAGCATGTATGTTTTAGTGAGGATCATCCTTTATCGGACTTCGGGGACTGCAGCTACAGAATGAGAAACAAAGAACTATACCAAATAACAAAACCACAACCCACGAGGCCATTCTACAACGACAACAAATGAAAAAATGTTTATCACATGTTCGTGGAAGAGAAAATAATGATATAATCAAGATGTTTAAGCTGCATACTATTAATACTGGAAAGAGTAATGACAGTTATTTGGCTTGAGAAACCTATTTTCATGAAAATCCGTTTGAAGATTAAAATTTTATATATTTCAACCGACAGATGAATGCCGAATGTTTACTTATAAGGAAAAGGTTAATATTGCTATTATTAGCCTTGTTATTCCGATATTGCATATATCATTGTTTCTTTCTCTTTCTTTCGTTTTACTTCTCTCATGTCATTTGGATTTTGTCAATACCATAGTGTCTTTCTTTCTTTCATGTATTTTCTATTTTGGATACAATGTCGTTTATTTGCTTCTTTCTTTCTTTTTTCTTTCTTTCCTTCATGTATTTTCTATTTTGTGTACACTGTCGTTTATTTGCTTCTTTCTTTCTTTCTTTCTTTCATGTATTTTTCTATTTTGGATACACTGTCGTTTATTTGCTTCTTTCTTTCTTTCATGTATTTTTCTATTTTGTATACACTGTCGTTTATTTGCTTCTTTCTTTCTTTTTTCTTTCTTTCTTTCATGTATTTTCTATTTTGTATACACTGTCGTTTATTTGATTCTTTCTTTCTTTCTTTCTTTCTTTCTTTCATGTATTTTCTATTTTGGATACACTGTCGTTTTATTTGTTTCTTTTTTTTTCTTTCTTTCCTTCTTTCATGTTTTTCTATTTTGTATACACTGTCGTTTATTTAATTGTTTCTTTCCTTCATGTATTTTTCTATTTTTGTATACACTGTCGTTTATTTGCTTCTTTCTTTCTTTTTCTTTCTTTCTTTCATTTTTTTATTTTGTATACACTTTTTATTTAATTGTTTCTTTCCTTCATGTATTTTCTATTTTGTATACACTGTCGTTTATTTAATTGTTTCTTTCCTTCATGTATTTTCTATTTTGTATACACTGTCGTTTATTTAATTGTTTCTTTCCTTCATTTTTTCTATTTTGTATAAACTGTCGTTTATTTGCTTTTTCTTTCTTTTTTCTTTCTTTTTTCATGTATTTTTTCTATTTTGTATACACTGTCGTTTATTTAATTGTTTCTTTCCTTCATGTATTTTCTATTTTGTATACACTGTCGTTTATTTGCTTCTTTCTTTCTTTTTTCTTTCTTTCTTATTTTCTATTTTGTATACACTGTCGTTTATTTAATTGTTTCTTTCCTTTCATGTATTTTCTATTTTGTATACACTGTCGTTTATTTATTTTTCTTTCTTTCTTTTTCCTTTCTTTCATGTATTTTTTCTATTTTTACACTGTCGTTTATTTTTTTCTTTCTTTTTTCATATATTTTTCTATTTTGTATACACTGTCGTTTTATTTACTTCTTTCTTTCATTTTTTTCATTCTTTTTTCCTTCATGTATTTTCTATTTTGTATACACTGTCGTTTATTTAATTGTTTCTTTCCTTCATGTATTTTTTATTTTTTACACTTCGTTTCTTTCCTTTAATTCGTTTTTCTTTCTTTCTTTCTTTCATGTATTTTCTATTTTGTATACACTGTCGTTTATTTAATTGTTTCTTTCCTTCATGTATTTTCTATTTTGTTACACTGTCGTTTATTTAATTGTTTCGTTTTTATTTCGTTTCTTTCTTTCTTTCATGTATTTTCTATTTGTATACACTGTCGTTTCTTTAACTTTCCTTCATGTATTTTCTATTTTTATTTCGTTTATTTAATTTTTTTCTTTCCTTCATGTATTTTCTATTTTGTATACACTGTCGTTTATTTTCTTTCTTTCTTTTTCTTTCCTTCTTTCTTTTTTCTATTTTGTATACACTGTCGTTTATTTAATTGTTTCTTTCCTTCATGTATTTTCTATTTTGTATACACTGTCGTTTATTTAATTGTTTCTTTCCTTCATGTATTTTCTATTTTGTATTCTTTTTCTTTCTTTCATGTATTTTCTATTTTGTATACACTGTCGTTTATTTAATTGTTTCTTTCCTTCATGTATTTTCTATTTTGTATACACTGTCGTTTATTTAATTGTTTCTTTCCTTCTTTTTTCTATTTTGTATACACTGTCGTTTATTTAATTTCTTTCTTTCTTTCACTTTTTGTATACTTTTTATTTTTTTTGATTCTTTCATTTTCTTTATTTAATTGTTTCTTTCCTTCATGTATTTTTTTCTATTTTGTATACACTGTCGTTTATTTAATTGTTTCTTTCCTTCATGTATTTTCTATTTTGTATACACTGTCGTTTATTTAATTTCTTTCTTTATGTTTCTTTTGTATTTTTATACACTTGTATACGTTTATTTTATTTAATTGTTTTTTTTCCTTCATGTATTTTCTATTTTGTTACACTGTCGTTTATTTAATTGTTTCTTTCCTTCATGTATTTTTTATTTTGTATACACTGTCGTTTATTTAATTCTTTCTTTTTTTTTCATGTATTTTCTATTTTGTATACATTTAATTTTTCTTTCCTTCATGTTTTTCTATTTTGTATACACTGTCGTTTATTTAATTTTTCTTTCCTTCATGTATTTTTATTTTGTATACACTGTCGTTTATTTGCTTCTTTTTTTCGTTTTTCTTTCTTTCATTTTTTCTATTTTTCTTTTGTCGTTTATTTAATTGTTTTTTCCTTCATGTATTTTCTATTTTGTATACACTGTCGTTTATTTAATTGTTTCTTTCCTTCATGTATTTTCTATTTTGTATACACTGTCGTTTATTTAATTGTTTCTTTCCTTCATGTATTTTCTATTTTGTATACACTGTCGTTTATTTGATTCTTTCTTTTTTCTTTTTTTCTGTTTTTTCTTTTTTGTATTTTCTGTCGTTTATTTAATTGTTTCTTTCCTTCATGTATTTTCTATTTTGGATACACTGTCGTTTATTTAATTGTTTCTTTCCTTCATGTATTTTTCTATTTTGTATACACTGTTTATTTATTTTTCTTTCCTTCTTTTTTTCTTTTTTTGTCGTTTCTTTCTTTCCCTTCATGTATTTTTCTATTTTGTATACACTGTCGTTTATTTAATTGTTTCTTTCCTTCATGTATTTTCTATTTTGTATACACTGTCGTTTATTTAATTGTTTCTTTCCTTCATGTATTTTCTATTTTGTATACACTGTCGTTTATTTAATTGTTTCTTTTCTTCATGTTTTTTCTTTTTGTACACTGTTTATTTTTTTCTTTCCTTCATGTATTTTTTCTATTTTGTTATTTCCTTCATGTATTTTTATTTTTGTATACACTGTCGTTTATTTAATTGTTTTCTTTCCTTCATGTATTTTCTTTTTTTTCTATATACACTGTCGTTTATTTAATTGTTTCTTTCTTTCATTTTTTTTTTTTGTATACACTGTCGTTTATTTAATTGTTTCTTTCCTTCATGTATTTTCTATTTTGTATACACTGTCGTTTATTTAATTGTTTCTTTCCTTCATGTATTTTCTATTTTGTATACACTGTCATTTATTTAATTGTTCTTTCTTTCTTTTTTCTTTCTTTCTTTTCTTTATTTTTTTTTCATGTCGTTTATTTTTTTTCTTTCCTTCATGTATTTTCTATTTTGTATACACTGTCGTTTATTTGTTTCTTTCTTTCTTTTTTTTTTTCTTTTTTCTTTCTTTCTTTCATGTATTTTCTATTTTGTATACACTATTTTATTTTTTTTTTTTTTCTTTCTTTCTTTCATGTATTTTCTATTTTGTATTTTTGTTTCTTTCCTTCATGTATTTTCTATTTTGTATACACTGTCGTTTATTTAATTGTTTCTTTCCTTCATGTATTTTCTATTTTGGATACACTGTCGTTTATTTAATTGTTTTTTTCTTTCTTTCATGTATTTTCTATTTTGTATTTTTATTTGCTTCTTTCTTTCTTTTTCTTTCTTTCATGTATTTTCTATTTTGTATACACTGTCGTTTATTTAATTGTTTCTTTCCTTCATGTATTTTCTATTTTGGATATACACTGTCGTTTATTTGCTTCTTTCTTTCTTTCTTTCTTTCTTTCTTTCTTTTTGTATACACTCGTTTATTTATTTTTCTTTCCTTCATTTTTTCTATTTTGTATACACTGTCGTTTTATTTGCTTCTTTCTTTTTTTTTTCTTTCTTTTTTTTTCTATTTCTTTCACTCATTTATTTTTGTTTCTTTTTTGTATTTTCTATTTTGTACACTTATTTATTTGCTTCTTTCTTTCTTTTTTCTTTCTTTCTTTCATGTATTTTCTATTTTGTATACACTGTCGTTTATTTAATTGTTTCTTTCCTTCATGTATTTTCTATTTTGTATACACTGTCGTTTATTTGCTTCTTTCTTTCTTTTTTCTTTCTTTCTTTCATGTATTTTCTATTTTGTATACACTGTCGTTTATTTAATTGTTTCTTTCCTTCATGTTTTTCTTTTTGGATACACTTTTTATTTTTCTTTCTTTCTTTTTTCTTTCTTTCTTTCATGTATTTTCTATTTTGTATACACTGTCGTTTATTTGCTTCTTTCTTTCTTTCATGTATTTTCTATTTTGTATACACTGTCGTTTTCTATTTATTTTATTTTTGTTTCTTTCCTTCATGTATTTTCTATTTTGGATACACTGTCGTTTATTTGCTTCTTTCTTTTTCTTTCTTTTTTCTTTCATTTATTTCATGTATTTTCTATTTTGTTTACTTCTTTCGTTTATTTAATTGTTTTTCTTTCCTTCATGTATTTTTTCTATTTTGGATACACTGTCGTTTTCTTTTTTTTCTTTTTCTTTTTATTTTTTTTCTTTCTTTCTTTCATGTATTTTTCTATTTTTCTTTCTTTCATGTATACACTGTCGTTTATTTAATTGTTTCTTTCTTTCTTTCCTTTCATTTTCTATTTTGTATTTTCTATTTTTTCTTTCTTTCTTTTCTTTCTTTTCATGTATTTTCTATTTTGGATACACTGTCGTTTATTTGCTTCTTTCTTTCTTTTCTTTCTTTCTTTCTTTCATTTTTTCTATTTTGTATACACTGTCGTTTATTTGCTTCTTTCTTTCTTTCTTTTTCTTTTCTTTCTTTCATGTATATTTTTGGATACACTGTCGTTTATTTTGCTTTTTCTTTCTTTCTTTCTTTCTTTTTTCTTTCGTTTATTTTCTTTTTTTTCTTTTTTTCTTTTTCTTTTTTTCTTTTCTTTCATGTATTTTCTATTTTGTATACACTGTCGTTTATTTGCTTCTTTCTTTCTTTCTTTCTTTCTTTTTTCTTTTTTCTTTTTGTATACACTGTCGTTTATTTGCTTTTTTCTTTTTTCTTTCATTTATTTTTTCTATTTTTCTATTTTTGATACACTGTCGTTTATTTAATTCTTTCTTTCTTTCTTTCTTTCTTTCTTTTTTCTTTCTATTTTCTATTTTGTATACTGTCGTTTATTTGCTTCTTTCTTTTTCTTTTTTCTTTCTTTCTTTCATGTATTTTCTATTTTGGATACACTGTCGTTTATTTAATTCTTTTTCTTTCCTTCATGTATTTTTCTTCATTTTTCTATTTTGGATACACTGTCGTTTATTTGCTTCTTTCTTTCTTTCTTTCTTTCATGTATTTTTCATTATTTTTCTTTTGTATACACTGTCGTTTATTTGTTTCTTTTTATTTCTTTTTCTTTCTTTCTTTTTCTTTTATTTTTTTTTTTTTTGTATATACACTGTCGTTTATTTGCTTCTTTTCTTTTCTTTTTCTTTCTTGTTTCATTTTTTCTATTTTGTATACACTGTCGTTTATTTGCTTCTTTCTTTCTTTCTTTCTTTCATGTATTTTTCTATTTTGTATACACTGTCGTTTATTTGCTTCTTTCTTTTCTTTTTTTTTCTTTCATTCTTTCATTTTTTCTATTTTGTATACACTGTCGTTTATTTGCTTTTTTCTTTCTTTCTTTCTTTCATTTATTTTTTATTTTTCATACACTGTCGTTTTCTTTTCTTTCTTTCTTTCTTTCATGTTCTTTTTCTATTTTGTATATTTTTATTTCTTGTCGTTTATTTAATTGTTTCTTTCCTTCATGCATTTTCTATTTTGGATACACTTCTTTCGTTTATTTGCTTCTTTCTTTCTTTCTTTTCTTTCTTTCATGTTTTTTTTTTGGATTTTGTTTACACTGTCTTTTATTTTCTTTTTCTTTTTTCTTTCTTTTTTCTTTCTTTCTTTTCTTTCTTTCTTTCTTTTTCATTTTTTCTATTTTGTATACACTGTCGTTTTATTTCTTTCTTTCTTTTTCTTTCATTCTTTTTCATATTTTCTATTTTTTATACACTGTCGTTTATTTAATTGTTTTCTTTCCTTCTTTCATTTTCTATTTTGGATACACTGTCGTTTATTTGCTTCTTTCTTTCTTTTTTTTTCTTTCTTTCATGTATTTTTCTATTTTGTATACACTGTCGTTTATTTAATTCTTTCTTTTTTCTTTTTTCTTTCTTTCTTTCTTTCTTTCATTCTTTTTTCTTTTTTGGATACATTTTCGTTTTGGATTGTCGTTTATTTCTTTCTTCTTTCTTTTTTCTTTTTTTCTTTCATGTTTTTCTTTTTTTTTCTTTCTGTCGTTTATTTTCTAATTGTTTCTTTCCTTCTTTGCATTTTTTCTATTTTTTCTACACTGTCGTTTATTTAATTTCATTTCTTTCTTTTTCTTTCTTTCTTTTCTTTCTTTCTTTATTTTTCTTTATTTTTTCTATTTTGTATACTGTCGTTTATTTGCTTCTTTTCTTTTTCTTTTCTTTCTTTTTTCTTTCTTTCTTTCTTTCATGTATTTTTTCTATTTTGTATACACTGTCGTTTATTTCTTTTTCTTTCTTTTTTCTTTCTTTCTTTCATTTTTCTATTTTGTTTATTTTCTTTTTTGTTTCTTTGTTTTCTTTTTTGCTTTAATTTTCTTTCTTTCTTTCTTTCATGTATTTTCTATTTTGGATACACTGTCGTTTATTTTCTTTTTTTTCTTTCTTTCTTTCATGTATTTTCTATTTTGTATACACTGTCGTTTTTAATTTTTCTTTTCTTTGTATTTTCTTTTTTTTTTCTTTCTTTTATGTATTTTCTTCATTGGATTCTATTTTATACTGTCGTTTTATTTCTTCTTTCTTTTTTCTTTCTTTCTTATTTTTTATTTTGTATACACTGTCGTTTATTTAATTGTTTCTTTCCTTCATGTATTTTCTATTTTGTATACACTGTCGTTTATTTGCTTCTTTCTTTTTTCTTTCTTTCATGTATTTTTCTATTTTGTCGTTTATTTACTTTCGTTTATTTTCTTTTCTTTCTTTTCTTTCTTTCATTTTTTCTATTTTGTATACACTTCGTTTATTTTAATTGTTTCTTTCCTTCATGTATTTTCTATTTTGTATACACTGTCGTTTATTTGCTTCTTTCTTTCTTTTTTCTTTCTTTCTTTCATGTATTTTCTATTTTGTATACACTGTCGTTTATTTAATTGTTTCTTTCCTTCATGTATTTTCTATTTTGGATACACTGTCGTTTATTTGCTTCTTTCTTTTTTTTTCTTTCTTTCATGTATTTTTCTATTTTGTATACACTGTCGTTTATTTAATTGTTTCTTTCCTTCATTATTTTCTATTTTGTATACTTTTTATTTAATTTTTCTTTCATGTATTTTCTATTTTGTATACACTGTCGTTTATTTAATTGTTTCTTTCCTTCATGTATTTTCTATTTTGTATACACTGTCGTTTATTTAATTGTTTCTTTCCTTCATGTATTTTCTATTTTGTATACACTGTCGTTTATTTGCTTCTTTCTTTCTTTCTTTCTTTTTCATGTTTCTTTCTTTTTAATTTTTCTTTCCTATTTTTTTATTTTGTATACACTGTCGTTTATTTAATTTTTCTTTCTTTGTATTTTTCTTTTTGTATACTTTCGTTTATTTTTCTTTCTTTTTTCATGTATTTTCTATTTTGTATACACTGTCGTTTATTTAATTTTTTTTCTTTCCTTCATGTATTTTCTATTTTGATACACTGTCGTTTATTTAATTCTTTCTTTCTTTCATGTATTTTCTATTTTGTATACACTATCGTTTATTTAATTGTTTCTTTTCATGTATTTTTCTTTTTTGTTTCATGTCGTTTATTTAATTTTTCTTTCCTTCATGTGTCGTTTTGTTTACTTCTTTCGTTTATTTTTGTTTCTTTCTTTCATGTATTTTCTATTTTTTTGTATACACTGTCGTTTATTTAATTGTTTCTTTCCTTTGTTTTTTTTTTATACACTGTCGTTTATTTAATTATTTTTCCTTCATACATTTTTCTATTTTGTCGTTTATTTGCTTTCTTTTTTAATTTTTCTTTCATTCATGTTTTTCTATTTTGTATACACTGTCGTTTATTTTGTTTCTTTCCTTCTTTTTTCTTTCTTTCTTTATTTAATTGTTTTTTCTATTTTCTATTTTGTACACTGTCGTTTATTTAATTCTTTCTTTCCTTCATGTATTTTTTATTTTGTATACACTGTCGTTTATTTAATTCTTTCTTTCTTTTTTCATGTATTTTCTATTTTCATATACACTGTCGTTTATTTGCTTCTTTCTTTTCTTTTTCTTTCTTTCATTCATGTATTTTTCTATTTTGTATACACTGTCGTTTATTTAATTGTTTCTTTCCTTCATGTATTTTCTATTTTGTATACACTGTCGTTTATTTAATTGTTTCTTTCCTTCATGTATTTTCTATTTTGGATACACTGTCGTTTATTTGCTTTTCTTTCTTTTTTTTTCTTTCTTTCATTATTTTTTATTTTGTTTTTTTCCTACACTGTCGTTTTGTATTAATTGTTTCTTTCCTTCATGTATTTTCTATTTTGTATACACTGTCGTTTATTTAATTGTCTTTCATGTATTTTCTATTTTTTCTCGTTTATTTTTTCTTTCCTTCATTTTTCTATTTTGTATACACTGTCGTTTATTTGCTTCTTTCTTTCTTTTTTTTGGATTTCGTTTATTATTTTTTTTCTATTTTTTCTATTTTGTATACACTGTCGTTTATTTGCTTCTTTTTCTTTCTTTCTATTTTGTATACACTGTGTATTTTTCTTTCTTTTTCATATTTTCACTTTCGTTTATTTTATTTCTTTCCTTCATTATTTTTTTTTTTTCACTGTCGTTTTATTTGCTTTTGTTTCTTTCTTTCTTTCGTTTCTTTCTTTCATTATTTTTCTATTTTGTATACACTGTCGTTTTATTTGCTTTTTCTTTCTTTCATGTTTTTCTATTTTGTATACACTGTCGTTTATTTAATTGTTTCTTTCCTTCATGTATTTTCTATTTTGTATACACTGTCGTTTATTTTTCTTTCTTTTCTTTCTTTCTTGTATTTTTCTATTTTGTATACACTGTCGTTTATTTAATTTCTTTCTTTCTTTCTTTCATGTATTTTTCTATTTTGTATACACTGTCGTTTTATTTGCTTCTTTTTTCTTTTTCTTTCTTTTCATGTATTTTTTTTTTGTACACTGTCGTTTATTTGCTTCTTTCTTTCTTTCTTTTCATGTATTTTTCTATTTTGTATGCACTGTCGTTTATTTAATTCTTTCTTTCCTTTCTTTCTTTCATGTATTTTTCTATTTTGTATAAACTGTCGTTTATTTCTTTCTTTCTTTCATTTTTTTCTTTTTCTTTCGTTTATTTAATTCATGTATTTTCTATTTTGTATACACTGTCGTTTATTTGCTTCTTTCTTTCTTTCTTTCTTTCTTTCTTTCTTTCATGTATTTTCTATTTTGGATACACTGTCGTTTATTTGCTTCTTTCTTTCTTTTTTTCTATTTTTTACACTGTCGTTTTTTAATGTTTTTTTCCTTCATATTTTCTATTTTGATACACTGTCGTTTATTTGCTTCTTTTTTCTTTTCTTTCTTTCATGTATTTTTCTATTTTGTATACACTGTCGTTTATTTGCTTCTTTCTTTCTTTCATGTATTTTCTATTTTGTATACACTGTCGTTTATTTAATTGTTTCTTTCCTTCATGTATTTTCTATTTTGTATACACTGTCGTTTATTTTCTTCTTTTTTCTTTCTTTCATGTATTTTCTATTTTGGATACACTGTCGTTTATTTGCTTCTTTCTTTCTTTCATGTATTTTTCTATTTTGTATACACTGTCGTTTATTTAATTGTTTCTTTCCTTCATGTATTTTCTATTTTGTATACACTGTCGTTTATTTGCTTCTTTCTTTCTTTCTTTCTTTCATGTATTTTCTATTTTGGATACACTGTCGTTTATTTGCTTCTTTCTTTCTTTCATGTATTTTCTATTTTGTATACACTGTCGTTTATTTAATTGTTTCTTTCCTTCATGTATTTTCTATTTTGGATACACTGTCGTTTATTTGCTTCTTTCTTTCTTTCTTTCTTTCATGTATTTTTCTATTTTGTATACACTGTCGTTTATTTGCTTCTTTCTTTTCTTTCTTTCTTTCATGTATTTTCTATTTTGTATACACTGTCGTTTATTTGCTTCTTTCTTTCTTTCATGTATTTTCTATTTTGTATACACTGTCGTTTATTTAATTGTTTCTTTCTTTCTTTCTTTGAACCTATTTGAATTTTGTTTATACCATAGTTTCTTTCTTTCTTTTTCATGTATTTTATATTTTGTTTACACTGCCGTTTGTTTGTTTGTTTGTTTGTTTGTTTGTTTGTTTGTTTCTTTCTTTCTTTCTTTCTTTCTTTCTTTCTTTCCCCCTCGGCGTTCTGCTTCATCATTTACTTTCATTTTACTGAAGTTTCAGAAATTGCCTTTATTATTCTTTGTTAAAACTACTTGCTTATATCCGCTTCATTCTTTTTATCATTCCCCGCTGTTACGATTACATTTTAGCGAAATTTAAATTTCTCGTTCAGATGAAATCAAGAACTGTCCGTTCTTCGACACCAGATTTTTTTTCAGGGTGTGTCAGAAATGTCAGGTCGAGTTAACCGTAACGGAGCAAGTCAATCAGTACTTTATGCTACTCACGGTAAATATCTCTTGAGGAAAGAAACTTGAAATTTATATCTCGTAATTCCCCATGTATAATACGCAATTTTTTTCTAAAAAAAAAAAATAAGTAAAATCAGGGGTGCGTATTATGCACCGGTACAAAAAAATCTTTAAAAATTTGCTGTAAAATAAAATAAGAATTATCATTAAACTAAATTAGAATAATATTATTCTATGTTTAAAACTATTTTTTAAATAAGAAAAGGAAACGCTGGCCGTAATTAAATTGAAGATGTACAATTTATAGGGTTTTATTATGAAACAAGGATTGCGTACTATGCGTGAGTAGAAACATTTTTCAACACTTTCAGTACAATTTTAGGCGTATTAATGTATGAAAGCGTATTATACATGGGAAATTATGGCATATATAACTTGTCCAACTGGCAATTGAGAAACAAATCTGTAACACTGAAAGGCATATTTACTGTAGCCCATCTTAATTCACCAGGACAGAATAACCCCAATCATTTAAAATCAGAAGTCATGAGAACGATTCCTGGTCTACAATCAGGTCATTATTGACTGTGTACGTCATTAGTAACTGGTAATTTATATTGGAGTTTAAGTGACAGTAGTATCACCTCAATATTACAGCACTGTTTTCCATTTTCAGTAATTCTGTCATTTGGATGATTGTAACTCTTCTTTTGACTTCCATTTCCTCCAGTTATCTTCCTAAGCTTTTAGGAACCATTTCCAAGTCTATGACTGTCACGACTGCCATCTTCATCACGTTCCACAATTTCCTTTGTTTTCTGGCAAGCTCAAAATATCTTCTCGTGTATTTTTGGCTCTGTGGTGCGCCGGAAGAGAGAAAAGCTACTAAGTCAAATGTATTATAATTATTATAAATTTAGTATCCCACATAGACGTAATCAGTGAAAATCCTGTCCTTGAGTCATTGTATCAACAATGATCCTTGCAACTCAAAAACTTTTAGGAGAATTCACGAAGATTAAAAGATGCCAGTTTACTGGAGGTCTATAAATTCGGTCAAAATTCCAATTTTCCCGTGAGCGATTTTCCTAATTTTCTAGGTTGTGTTTCAAAAGCAGCCATTCATATAATCAAAATTTCCACAGGACGGAAATTCCCGCCATTACTAGAAAGATAAATAACTTTTAGTAGTTTTCAGAAGTCTAGTTTCCTGAAAAACTGTTAAGATATAGATTTTATAAATTTTAACAACTAGTAACAATGAAATTGAAAACTTGAAGCTTTATTATCATCAGCAATCCCGATTATCCCAAATGAAAATAGACGGAGGAAAAAAAAGATGGATGACTGATGAAATTCTCACCATGATGAAAAGAATAATAAGACATGGAACAGAATAGAAGACACTGCACAAAAAAAAAGTCAGGAAAAATTGTAGACACGCTAAATGGGAATGTTTCACCAAAATAGCGCAGCAATATAAAGAATGACTATCACAGACAAAGCAGATATAAATAAAAAATTAGAGAACAGGACAAAAGACATGTTCATCATCAGGATGCATACAAATCCAATGATAGAACATTGATATTAGAGAAAGAAAAATATTTCAGAAATGAAACGAATATATCGGAGAACTCTTTCACAACGAAAGAGGACAACCAGAAAAACACATAAATACCGAAAAAATTAAAATCTGAAATTGAATCTGCACTAACCAGATTGAGCAGAAACAAAGCAGCAGGGCCAGACGGAATTGTAAGATGCTGGCAGCTTTAGATGTTTTCGGCATAGACAAGTTTATAAACATAACAAATCAAATATATAACAGTGGTGATATACTAGAATATCTAAATAAATCTATTTTCATAGCTCTTCCCTAAGAAGCCATGTATAAACGAATGCGAACCACCTGACAATCAGCCCAATGAGCCACATAGCAAAACTCATCATCCTAATATTAAGGAATAGTACGCACAGCAGAATCAGACCGGAAATAGGACAAGAACAATGCGGGTTCGTCAAGGACACTGGGACAAGAAACGCCCAGAATTTTATCAGATAGAGCAATACAGAAAGTGTTTTATAGATTATTGTTATGGGAACTTACCATGGCGTTCTATATTAACAGGCCTCTGCGTAACGCCGCTACCTCAATAGACTGGAGGCCGGATGGCAATTAGATCGTTTTAGTTTCAGTTTGAGCGAACTGCTGCGTACTGTGTACTCTTATGTTGTTGGCTCGAGAAATTCTAAGGAATCTTTTAATTTTACCTTTGGTTGGAATATAATTTAACTTATTTATTTGAAGTAAGTATATTTGATTATTTTAGTTTGAGTCAATACATTATTTATATTTAAATTGTAAAAAACTCGCACAAAAAAGATTTACTTCAGATTTACATTGTTAGTATGAGTGAAAACATAACGTCAACGAAATTAAAGTTTAATTTTCTCAAGTTTTTAACCATGATAAAAAATTAGCATAAGTCAACATTTTTCTATTAAAAGTTTAAGTTTGAATAATAAATTTGAATAAAATTTTAATAGAGAAAGGTTCATTAACATTTCTCTATTAAAACTTTATCTAACATTTCCATTAAAAGTAAAAAAAAAACAACAAAAAACAAACGAATTTCTTCGCGCTTTTGTTTCCGAAGTTAAAGAATAAATGATTATTTTTACTACATTAGTTACCAATTGGTGAACTGTAAGTATTTTTTTATTTATTAGAATTAAAGAAAAAAATAACAATAATAAATTTATTACATGCAGTTAATGTCAATATTTTAATTATTTTTTTTTAGAAAGGTCTCCTTTTTTACGCCTTTTGACTACAAAATTTATTTTACAAGACAAGTATAATAATACCATTTTATTTATCATATTTATTTTAATATTTTTCTGATATTGTTAAAGGACAAAATGCATTATTTTTACTTTACTTTTAGTTGTTTTGCTTTAAGGTAAAAAAAAGTTATATATATTCCTATTTATATAGTTTAAAGCGTATTAAAATAACCAAACTAAAGGAAAGGCTACTTATGAATGTTTTTAAATTTAATATAAAGTTTTAAAGTAAACAACATTGGCCTTCAAATTTTGATACCATAAAAGTTAATGGAAAAATACGTCCAAAAAATCCACCATCTGTATGGCCAGGTGGGCCAAGTAGTTAAATACCAACACCCTCAGCTGTTCAAACCTCCTGATGAACTTAATGCTTTTTTAGAATTAGATAAAATTAATTATACAAATGTGAAAGAAAGTCTGCTTAACAACAAAAAAGACTTTATATGTCCAGTTGTAGCATTTTTGGATGAAAATATTTTAACTGTTCAATTATCAAAATCTATTGATGGCATTCCTCTCTTTATGTTGAAAATTTATAACAATTTGCGCTTTGAAGCATTTCATTATGGAGTTAAGTGTTATATTAGCAGCCTGTCCAAAAATCATATAAATACAGTTGATACTTGGTCAAAACTGGAAGAAATCATCCGATATTTAAATTCTATGGCTTTTGATCACAAGAAAAATATCCTGAGTCAACAATTTTTAGCAATGGCTCCCAAAATGGTTGGAATAAAATACAGCTCAGATATAGTTGTGCATGCTTTTGGGTACTATGCAAGATCACGGACATTGTATAATGAATTAAGATATGATTTTCAATTACCCCATTAGCAACATTATGAAGGATGACGTCAAAAGTTTCAAAAACTTAATGAGAAATCTTTTTTGTTATCTATATTTAATACTCTTAATATCAGTCAAAAAGGGTGCATAATTCTCCATGATGAAGTATATATCAAAAAGATGTTGCTATATGATGGCAAACAACTATTTGGTAAATCAGTTGACAATCCATCTGTACTTGCTCAAACAGTACTTGGTATAATGTTCATATGTCTCAATGGGGGTCCAAATTTTCTTACAAAATTGACTCCAATATCAAAATTAACATCTGCCATTTTATTTGAACAAATTCAGTTAACAGTCCAAGCCATCACATCTGTACCAGCTGATGTAAAGGCTATTATATGTGATGGCAACCGCGTAAATCAAGCTTTTTTAAAATTATATCCTACATTTCCTGAAAAACCTTGGTTAACTGAAGATAATAAACATTTGCTTTTTGATTATGTTCATCTGTTGAAAAATATTCGCAATTTGTGGCTGTCAGAAAAAACAGGAGAACTAATCTTTGATGATGATGGAGTAAGTTGAGTTGCAAAATGGACACATCTTAAACAGTTATATCGTTTTGAATCTGAAAGACTAGTCAGACTTTCAGATTTAAATGAAATTTCCATTGCTCCAAAGTCAATAGAAAGACAATGGGTTTCTACTTGCCTCAGAGTGTTTTCTGAAAAAACATATAATGCACTTCTCACTCAGTCTGAAATAAGTGCAGGTAAGAATGATACTGCCCTCTTCATAAACAAAGTTTTGACATGGTGGAAAATTTTAAATGTTAAATACCTTCAAATTGATAAATTACATAATGATCCTCTACAAGCTGAAATCAAATCTACAAATGACACCCGACTTTTATCATTGAATTTGGTAAAATGGCTCTTAATATGGCTGGCAGTCAAGGTAATCGTAAAAAACAATTATCCCAAAACACTGCTACTGCCATACATCATATTTGCAATGGAATTGTTAGTCTATATCGACACCTTTTAGCTACAACTCATAAATATGTATTACTTGGGCAATTTTCAACTGATCCATTAGAAAAAGAATTTGGTAAACTTCGCCAAGGATCAGGTGGCACCTATTTTATAAATGTTCAACAATGTATTAAAAAGCTGCATATTAAGCAGACATCTTTACTTTTAAATCAAAATGTAAATATTGATGAATTTGATGTT